AGATAGATAGATAGATAGATAGATAGATAGATAGATAGATAGATAGATAGATAGATAGATAGATAGATAGATAGATAGATAGATAGATAGATAGATAGATAGATAGATAGATAGATAGATAGATAGATAGATAGATAGATAGATAGATAGATAGATAGATAGATAGATAGATAGATAGATAGATAGATAGATAGATAGATAGATCGATCGATCGATCGATCGATCGATCTAAATGGATGTGGCTGCACTCAGACCTCGTCATCACAGCTGCAGCCCAGGTCTTGTGTTACTGTGACGCCGGAGTCGGCCGCCCTCATCGGAGGCGTCACTTCCTCTGGCATGGTGGGATGGAACACCGGCTCTCTCAGGATGTCGTTCAGGCTGCCGTGTGTCCCGTTGTTTGGAGCCGGCTTCAAGCCCAACAAGTCTGATGGGAACAAGCAATCATATTGTTTGAATCAGCTGTTTGGAGACAAAGTTGTTGATTTTTTTATTTATAATTATAATAAATATTTTAAAGTCCTCACTAAAGCTTCAAAAATAGATGGATATCTTTAAGAAAAACAGGTTCATAAAAGTAACAAACATTTTTTATCACCTCAATCTTATTAAGGGGAAATTGCACTACATCTACAGCAGCAATTTATCCTCAGATTGATCAAAACTAAATCTGATAACAAAAAGTTCTAACACTTTTTAAGCTTCTAGGCGTTTCTTCAGTTTTTAAACAAGACAATGTTCACTCACCACACATGACGTTGTATAACTCTATGTTTTCAAACTCTGACACTCTTGTCTGATATTTGAAGCTCGGTCCATGGCCGATAAAGATCGTCTGTTTATAACGAGGAGAAAAGAAAGTCCAAGTCAAAAACAGAAAGACAGCCCAGAAACAGGCCTTGTGTTCCAGTTCATAACTAAAGAAATTGCATTTCCTGCAAAGACAGTGTGAATGCATACTGCAGAAGAGCTTGCTGAAAAACAGCTGGACTTAGCTAAAACATGCTGAAATGGAAGAACAAGCCTAAATTAGCAAAAGAAAGCAGAAAGAACATATATTTTTCTGAAATAGGTTTAAATAAGCAGAAATTAGCAGAAAAATTAGGCAAGTTTAGCAAGCTGAAATGAGCTCAACAATAGCTGAAAGTAGCTGAAAGGCAAAAAGAAGCATAAAATTCCTGAAGGAAGTGCAAAGAGCTGAAAAGAGCTAAAACCAATTGTGGCATTAGCTGAAAATTTACCATAAAAAGCTAAACAGTAGCTGAAATAGAAACAGCTTGAAGTAGCATAATTAGGAAATTAGCATAATTAAGCTGAAAGGAGAATAACACATTTAAATTAATTAGGCTGATATTAGCAGAAACATGATGAACTTGAATGTATCTAAAAACAGCTATTAGCTAAAAATGCTAACAAGGTAGCTGAAAAGGTAGAACAAGTTTAAATAAGCAGAAGAAAGCAGAAAGAACATGTTAGCCCATATAAGCTGAAAAAAGCAGAAATGAGCGCAAAACGGCTGGAAATTATTTTTTTAAAAGCTTGAATTAGCAACATCTGAAAAGTAGCTAAAAAGGCAAAAATAAATTACAAGAAGGAAGTGGAGAGAGCACATTTTTGCTGAATTAAGCTGAAAAAAGTTGAAATGAGTGCAAATAATGTGGAATTATTTGAAAAAGCTGAAGTTGGCATAAAAACAGCTAATAGTAGCTGAAATAGTAGAAAAAGCTGAAAATTGGAAAAATAAGTTGAAAGGAGCATAACAAGCTGAAATTAGTGGAAAGAAGTTAGAAGAAGCACAACATGATGTAGTTAACAAAAAGAACCTGTTAGCTGAAAGTAGCTGAGAAAAGTTTAAATTTGCAGGAGGAAGCTGAAAGAAGCCGAACGTAAACAAAATGTGAAAGGAGCAGTAAAAGGTTGTAAACAGATCTAAAGATATGAAGGATGTAAAATGAGCTCAATTCATTTTCTATGAGAGAAAAAGGGCAGAAAAGGCTAAATATTTCAAAAAGCTAAGGTTTCATCAATACCAAAAGTCATAGCTGGATTGTTCTGAAAGAGCTGAATGTTTTTATTTATGATTTATTGAAATAGATTGAAAACTGCAGGACGAGAATCAAAACGAAAAACGTGCGGAAGAAAATCCGATCACAATAGAGTGAATGCTCCATAAACATTCACACAGTAATGAATCGTGTTTGCGTTTCATTTCGTCTCAAACTGTGATTGGTCAAAAGCATTAGAGTTTTTTTTTGTCCATAAATTGAGAAATCAGAACATAAGCCGACAGAACTGTACCCTCATGCTGGTTATCTTGTTGTCGAAGCCGTGGTCGCCAAAAAAGCCGCACCGAGTCCTCAGTTTTTCTGGCATTTTCCTGAAATAAATAATTTCCCTGCAATGAAATTTAAGCAGAACTGACTGAAGAGAACTCATATTTAATCTTACAGAG